ACTACCCTAAACAATCAACGAGCCCCACAATATATCAAAAAACTTTTTTGGAATTGAAAAGCAACTCAGAGAGAAAAGGCTGGAAGTTCTTATTTACGGATGGCTCCAAAACAACTCAATCGACGTCTTTTGCAGTAGTATCTGAGAAAGGGAACGTTATCAAGACGGGACTGCTTTTCCCGGACAGCTCGGCTTTCGGGGTTGAATTGATCGCCATATACCATGCTATTATGCACTCTACAACAGCTAAGGGAAAATACATATCTGCTCCGACAGCAAGTCGTCCGTCGCTGCGCTGCAAAACCCCCACAATAAAGAGGCTCTTATTGAAAGTTCAAGAGATCTGGTGATACAACATTCTTCAAAAATAAAAATCACCGGCCATTGCGGCATCATCGGAAACGAATATGCAGACATCGCAGCTAAAGAAGTCTACCAGACACCCTGTATATACTTCGAGCCTTTGGTAAAAACAGACATAATTCGACAAATAAACAACCACGTTAGGAAACTAACTGCGACTAACTGGCAAACGTATCAACATGGATACAAAGTTTACAATCAAAATCGCATCAAGCCAACACTCCCGGTTTCAGCGACGGCAGATCAACTTTGAATTACTACCAGATTACGACTGGGTCACATAAAGTTAACGCGCGAACATTTGTTAAAAGGGGAACCGCCTCCTTATTGTGCAGCGTGCAACTGCGTACTGTCCATAAAAAATATCCTCGATGAGCCCACAAATATGCTAAAGACCTTACATATTGAAAACATTAAAAAAATCTTTAACTTAATTTACCAAAGTAACATTTTGCACCTTGTGTAATCATTTACTTACTTCGATACTTATTTTTTAATATTATCTTCTTCTAGAGTATTTTATAATAAAATATAAAATCTTTTAGTAATAAGTCAGGCCGATAGTCTTAGTTACTCGTTGCCTTGCTAAATGTAATGTAATTATTTATAATTATATTTCATAAAAATAAATAAAATAAAATAATTATATCTTAGTAGTTTAAATACTGTTTCATTGAGTTCTATTACTCACAAGCTCATACATTCACACATATATAATATGTATAAAGTGGCGGTTAAACTTTTTTGTTTTTTACTTAACACCTGAACTAGTTACCACGACAATCGACTTCTGGTAAGGATCACGGTAAGTAACGGGAAAAGTTAATCTTTAACCACCGGACAGCTTTTACAATAATCTCTTTATACTGGTATGCCTGCTAATAAAACAAGATTCGAAAAAGGCCCAAAAATAATAATACCGCACGACGTTTGGAGCGCTCGAAGTGCACATCTCAAACTTTAAACGCGTTTTGCTCAAAACACACTTTTTATACTGGCGGACTCCTCAGCCGATTTGCTTTATTTTTTTTATGTTCACAAAACGCTTAGCTATCGTCCCTACTAGAGTCATAATTTTTTATAATTTATTGACAATGTTATGACAAAATTTATGTAAAAATATAGTATATAGAAAAAATAAAAAAAAAACGTTAATTACTTTTTCTATTTTTGTGATTCTAGTAGGAATGATAACCATTAACGTATATTCTGAGAATAAATTGGGTTTTCGTGTTTCAGATGATCCAAACATGAGAAATCGGTCCCGCCAGTGAAAAAACGCATCTCATTCACCCAGCTATTCCTCCGACAGATGTCATCAAAAAATTCCGAAAAAAAAATGGTTTATGCACTCCACGATATACCTCGTGATATGTGAAAAAAGTTCTATTGTAGAATAAAAATTTCTATGAAAAAACCAATGTCAAAAAAACAGCCCAGATTATCCTACTGACCCCTTAATTGCTGTGAACTCAGCATGGAAGATGCTGATGTAATCTTGAAGTCGGAAGGCGATCCTTATGTCTACAAAGAGGGTTCCAAAATAAATAGGACTTTTTCAATAGAGCGCCCTTGGGGGCGCCATCTATATGTCGGCTGGTGTATTAGAATCTGCTACCTTTATCGATTGTTCAGTGAGAATTTCATGACATTTCATTGATTGGAAGCGAAGTTATTGCATTTTATGTGTCAGTATGTTTGTCTAATAGGTGCGAAAATCAGGTTCGAACAAAGAGCCAACATTAAATTTTGTTTTAAGATTTATAAAAATTTTACCGAAACAATTGATGAAACAAGTTTATGGCGATAATTGCCTCTCTCGTAGCAGAGTGCACAAGTGACCGATTATTTGAAGAAAAATCATATTTTAACCATTAACCACTCCTCCGTGGCTCCGTGGAACTTTTTCGGAAAAATGCATTTGCTCATGAAAGGAAAGCGTTATGCAGACGTAGAGGCCATTCAAAAGGCTTGCAGAAGGAAGTGAAGCAGAAGGAGCATATTTTGAACAAAATAGATTGATTTTGCCGAGAAAACAAATTTGCTCTTTTTTTTAAGCCGGTTTATTTTGGAACGCACCTTGTAATTTAGCCGAAAAGGCATCCCTGCCACTTTATTAATTAGTTGGACCCATCTATGTAGAAACTTATCATTGTATCCTTGTACACCTCAACCTTTTCTCACTCTTGAAAGGCAGTTAATATTGGTGACTAAATTTTAGTTTAATTTTACAAGATCCATGGTATCGGGGAAAAACGGGAACTTACTAACTAACTTCGAATGGTCCTGATAACAGAAGATTACTATTTCCTTGACTTGCTTTAAGAACTACGCTGCTGTTTTTGCTATTTATGTCTTACCACCTATTTCTCATCCCTTATACGATATATCATACCTTATACCAATATACCGCATTGAATAATCGGCTCAAAAATAATTTTATACTCTCGCAACAAAGTTGGTTAGGAGAGTATTATAGTTTTGTACACATAACGGTTGTTTATAAGTCCTAAAACTAAAAGAGTCAGATATAGGGTTATATATACCAAAGTGATCAGGGTGACGAATAGAGTTGAAATCCGGATGTCAGCTGTAACTTGAGTAAAAATTGAGATATAATGATGAACACGTGGTACACGTATTTCTCGGCTCCATAAGAAGGTTATGAGCGAAGATGGGCAAAATCGGGCCACTGTCACGCCCACAAAATGGCGAAAACAGAAAACCTATAAAGTGTCATAACCAAGCCATAAATAAACATATTAAAGTGAAATTTGGCAAAAAGGATCACATTAGAAAGGGGCATAGTTGGACGTCATTTCTTTGGAAAAGTGGGAGTGGCCCCGCCCCCTACTAAGTTTTATGTACATATCTCGGAAACTACTATAGCTATGTTAACCAAACTCTATAGAGTCGTTTCCTTCAGGCATTTCCATTTACAGTTCAAAACTGGAAGAAATCGGACAATAACCACGCCCACCTCCCATACAAAGGTTATGTTTAAAATCACTTAAAGTGCGTTAACCGACTAACAGAAAACGTCAGAAACACTAAATTATACGGAAGAAATGTCAGAAGGAAGCTGCACCCAGCTTTTTTTAAAAATTGAAAATGGGTGAAGCGTCGCCCACTTATGGACCAAAAACCATATCTCAGGAACTAATCGGCCGGTTTCAATTAAATTCAGTATATAATATTTTCTTAACACCCTGATGACATGTACGAAATATGTATGAAATCGGTTCACGACCACGCCTTCTTCCAATATAACGCTATTTTGAATTCCACCTGATGCCTTCTCTGTATAATATATACATATATAAAACTTTACACAAATACGGTATTTGAGCTGAGGTATTCCTTGTGGAAAAATTCTCGTGATCGGACTATAACTTTTCAAGGTCCCTGATATCGAACACGAAGAACTCAATGCCTAACCTAACCTAACCTAATTTTTCACCGAAAATATCGGTAAATCCCTCAGATATTTTCATGTAATTCAGAAGGCATCATTTTTATACTCTCGCATTAAAGTTGCTAATAATGGTATATATCGTCAGATATATGGTTACATATACCAAAGTGATCAGGGTGACAAGTAGAGTTGAAGTCCGGATGCCTCTCTATCCGTCCGTGCAAGCAGTAACTTGAGTAAAAATTGAGATATCTTGATGAAACTTATCATGCGAGAGTATAAAACGTTCGGTGACACCCGAACTTAGCCCTTGCTTACTTGTTTTTTCAATATTTGTAGTTACAATGCACTTTAAATAGCCTATCGAATTTTTAATCCTTTGTTGTGATATTATATTCTTATAATGTTATCGAAATCAAAACTAAAAAGTCGTTAAAATAATAAGGATATAATGAAAATTGTGATTCTTTTGCATTTGGCAATAAGTTAGTTGATTTATTTTAACGCGTTTAAGTTTTTCGTGATTTCGAAATCTTGTAACTTCTGGCTCGACCACTATTGTCCTTGCAGTTACTCCATTTCTGCACAACCATATATGGATATTGGCGGACGCTGTTTAGCGGTTGCAATAATAAAGTAGTTTTCGTAAGCAAGTACTTACTTACACATAAGTAAAGCGCACGTCCAATAATGCTGCGTTATAGGGGCAATACAAATTTTCAATTTACGTTTTATTAACATAAGTAGACGTCACTGAAGCGGGGTTACTTGGTGTTTGTATTATATGTAAACAAATGCAAATGCAGACTGTGATTGAAAAGTGAAAACTCACCAAAATCGAGAAAAAAATACAACTGAATAAAAAATAAAATAAAGCATACACATATAAATGTATATACAAGTAATTGCTTGCAAATATAAAAAATTTTAATTAGCATGAGCCCTGTAAAAAGCAGCTGTGTTTGATAAACTTTTACTATTCAATTGCAAATAGCTTTACAATCACACAAACAAATGTATACAATAAAATATCTTAATATGTTCGCCTTGCATATTTCTATATCGTCTCTTCTTCCATTCCCTTTTTGCAGACATATTTCACATTTGATTCGCGTGCAGAACAACAAACGGAAGTTTATTTACGCTATGGCCAACATCCGGAACTGTATCCCAATCGTCGGGGCGAAGTGGTGCAAGGGTAAGTGCCAACAAGCACACACATATTCACATATTAACAAACGTCATCTGTGAAAATTGTATTGGCCTTATACATTTACTTTATATCACACCTGCGTCGCTGTTGAGTTCAATATTGCGCTTCGCCATCAAATGTTACGTATACGCCACCGGTGTGTTGCCTTTCATCGCACAAAAATTAGTGAGTAACTGGCAATGCTTTATTGAGCGTTGCCACAACAAATAACGTTGTATGTTCACTGCTGGCGTCTTCACATTAGAAAGCGCTTCAGTTACTTGATCGTTTATCGTCCGTCCGCCTGTTTACGTGCTGTGACCTCTTTTCAGCATTCCTCAATGGCTTGTAGCGTTCGGGTGTGCCGCTGATGCTGCTGCTGTGAGGCAATATTTTAATTATATTATTATTATTATTATGCAGAACTTAAGTGCTTTCAGCTGCCGTAATCATATTGTTAGAAAAGCAGCTAAGCGCGGTGGTGAAGCTGGCGTATGCAGTGAAGCTGATGAATGACGGACCGATAAAATGAGTGAAATAAAAATAGTGGAAGGGAATTCGCATGTAGGTAATTGAATGTAGGTGGTAAAATATTTTGCAGTACAAATCAGACCCAGTTCTTACCAGTTTAACGATGAGAGGTTCGCTGTCTGTATAGCCGCAGAAGTTCAAAAATAATCAAAAAACATAACAAGTGTTAAAAATTAAACTCAACGGACGAGAGAGTTTTAGACACTTTGTTTTATTGCTATAAAGACATTGTATTTTTGTGAAATATTGAAAGGAATGTGTTCCTATTCCAAAAACGAAAAATCTTATTTTAAAGCTCCTTGGTAACTACAACAATTTATAGAATACATATTTTCTAACGGTACTTTTTTTTGTAGGCGGAATACTCTGAAAACGGTGATTCATTCCCTCACATTGATTAGTGCCATTTAGAGTTATACATTAATTTTAATAAATTTCATACTTACCGATAAAAAGCTATAGACGCTTTAAATGGTGAGTGAGAAATCTTAAGCGGTTTTGAGATACGAAAATAGTTAATTTACGTGGGGATGCACAATTAAAGATAAATAAAAAAAAAATCAAATTGCCTGTATCGATAAATGTAATTAAAAGCCGACAAATTAAAACGCGTGTGTACGGTTTCACGGTTCAATTCAAAGACTGTTCTTTATTCCGTTTTATAGAACTTAACCAAAATCTTAAACTAACGGCTTAAAGAAGTGGTAATGTAAATATGTGTTACAAAAATGTTAATTACTTATCTTTCGTTAAGCATTGTACTAGCTTATGTTAAGGTAACTATTAAAGTAAGTAATAGATTAGTGTTACGAACGCATTATTAAGGTAAGTATTTTAAATAATAACCCTATTCTTAACTATGTAGACAATTCGCTTACAAAAAAGAGCATTAATATTGTTTCTAGGTAATTTTTCCGATGAGAAAAAGTTCAACATTGGTGCTATAGATGGCTTTTTGAGACACCGGAGAGTCACAGTATTTTTGAAAGCACAATTTCGGCGGACTCACCAGTGGTATGGTCGCTTTTTCAATTTCCGGGACTGTACCGTTGGTATTCTCTTCTTGCCGAAAGAATAGTTCCGAGTACCAGGAAGTATTGGAAGCAAGTCTGCTAACCTCTATGTACACAGTCGTTCTCAAAATTGTTCCTCTCTTCAACAAGACAATGCAATAATCCATACGACCAGGTCAACAAAAAAGTGGATTCAACATAAAAATATCTATATTCTTGGATGGTCCGATTGTTCTCCTGATGTAAGACCCATTGAGAACATCTGAGGATGACTGGTAAAAAAGTTTTACTAGGATTGTCGTCAATTTAACACGATTTCTGAGCTTAAGACCGCTATTTTGGATACATACATAAATTCATTTAAATTAAAAACTGTTTGTGATAACTACAATTAAATTTAAAGAAGAGAGAAATTATAAGTTAAGCCTACAATAAAATACCATATTTTCAAGACTTGTATTCAAATTTCCTTTTGCTTCGTTCCTTACATTCATTCCTTCGTTCTTACATTATGTGTATTTCCAGTGCCTAACTAGAGTTTATCGTTCCGAAATCATTTCCAAATTTCGCCAAACTTACCAGCTTCTTATAAAAAACGGTACACACCCATACATTTGTAAACACTTACATAGATCTGTATGCACATATCTTAACTTTTCCTGAGTGTACTTCACCTTATTCAAACTAATCAAACTTTGTCATCATGTACATTTATATATAGTTATTTCTCTTCAGTTATTGAAATAAAATTCAATTACCTTTCGAGTTGATAAGCATTAATGAATTTGTCTTCCAAAAACATATCGATTTTCTACATTGTTCAGTAAAACGGCAACTCATTTCCAATAATTGCTTTGAGCAAAGAAGGAAATCATTTTCAAGTAAACCAGACATCGAATGGTGGCGTAAATGCAAATGCTAACTAATATACACAGGCGCAGTTGTTGCTTTCAATGGCATGATAAAGGATATTAAATGGATTTATTTACTTTTCTGCAGGCTTAAATAAATTTTATATTCGTAAACTAATCACTACTTTTCCAACAATTTTTGACAACAACAGATAACTAATTGAAGCCGTAAAAAATAGAGAAATAAAAGAAATGGTACACGGTTGACGTTAATCGATTTATTGCTATATTTTTGGTTTTTGTACAGTGCGTACATGTATTTTATTTTCTTCTTCTTCATCTTAATTGGCCTAGACAACGGTTACGCGATTAACGTCGAGTTAAAAACAACGCGACAGTCGTTTCTTCTTTTCGCTACGTAACGCCAATTTGATATTCCAAGTGAAGCCAGGTCCTTCTCCACTTGGTCCTTCCAACGGAGTAGAGGTCTTCCTCTTCCTCTGCTTCCCCCGGCGGGTACAGCGTCGAATACTTTCAGAGCTGGAGTGTTTTCGTCCATTCGGACAACATGACCTAGCCAGCGTAGCCGATGTCTTTTAATTCGCTGAACTATGTCAATGTCGTCACATATCTCAAACAGCTCATCGTTCCATCGAATGCGATATTCGACATGGCCAACCCGTAAATCTTCCGCAGCACCTGTTGGCAAGAGTTATCATGCGTTGGTTCCAAGATAGACAAAGTTATCTCCGACTTCAAAGTTATGACTGTCAACATTGACGTAAGAGCCAAGTCGCGAGTACGACGACTGTTTGTTTGATGATAGTAGATATTTCGTCTTGCCCTCGTTCACCGTCAAACCCATTTGCTTTGCTTCCTTGTCCAATCTGGAGAACTAACGGCGCAGGGGTTGAGGCCGCTAATATCATTTGATTGGCATACGCCAGCAGCTGTACACTCTTATGAAAGATTGTACCTGCTCGATTAAGTTCTGCAGCTCGAATTATTTTCCCCAGAAGCAGGTTGAAGAAGTCGCACGATAGGGAGTCGCCTTGTCTGAAACCTCGTTTGGTATCGAACGGCTCGGAGAAGTCCTTCCCGATCCTGACGGAGTTTGTGGTGTTGCTCAACATTAGATAATACAGCCGTATTAGTTTTGCGGGGATACTAAATTCAGACATCGCGGCGTAAAGGCAGCTCCTTTTCTTGCTATCGAAAGTAGCATTGATATCGATGAAGAGGTGCTGCGTGCCGATTCTCCTTTCACGGGTATTTTCCAAAATTTGGCGCCTGGTGAATATGTGGTCTGTCGTTGATTTGCCAGGTCTAAAGCTACACTGATAAGGTCCAATCAGGTCTTTGACGGTGGGCTTTAATATTTCACACAATACGCTCGTTAGAACCTTATACGCGATGCTAAGGAGGCTTATCCCACAGTACTTGGCGCTGATTTTGGGGTCTACGTTTTTTTTAGATCGGGCGGAGCACTTTTAAATTCCAATCGTTGGGSATGCTTTCGTCCCACCATATTTTGCAAAGAAGCTGATGCATACTCCTTATCAGTTCGTCGCCGCCGTGTTTAAATTGCTCGGCGAGTAATCCATCGGCTCCCGCGGCTTTGTTGTTCTTTCGACGGGTAATTCCTATTCGAACTTCTTCATAGTCGGGCAATTGAACGTCTGCTCCATCGTCATCGATTGGGGAATCGGGTTCGCCTTCTCCTCGCGTTGTGCGTTCACAGCCATTCCGCAGGCTAGAGAAGTGTTCCCTCCATAATTTAAGTATGCTCTGGGCATCGGTCACTATATCACCTTTGGGGGTTCTACAAGAGTTCTACAAGAGTATGCTCCGGTCTGGAAGCCTTCAGTTAACTGCCGCATCTTTTCGTAGAATATGCGGACACTACCCCTGTCGGCCAGCTTATCAAGCTGCTCATACTAACGCATTTCGGCCTCTTTTTTTTTTCTGTCTGCAAATGCGTTACCCCTGTCGGCCAGCTTATCAAGCTGCTCATACTAACGCATTTCGGCCTCTTTTTTTTCTGTCTGCAAATGCGTTACGCTTCCCTTTTTATCTTAGTTTCCAAAAATTATTTTGCTAGAAAAATAGACTTTTTATTTTAATTAATCTCAGTAGACTTACCATCCATGTTAATATTATAAATGTGAAACTAACTCTGTCTGTCTGTTACTCTTTCACGCCTAAACGGCTGAACGGATTTTGAAATTTAATATGGTGATAGATGATAAACTAGAAATGGTCATAGGCTATAAATAATCACGCCATCGTTCTTAGGGGGTCGGCAGATAATTAATTGAGTTAGTGATTTTTGGTCGGTTTTGTTGGGACTTTTGCTCTTTCACATCCAAAGAGCTGAACGGATTGTGATGAAATATAGTTAGGAGATAGATAGTACATTTTTATTATTAGGTAGTTAAGGCAGCTGTTAGATGCAGGTATTTGCTTAAACAATCATTCATATCTCTAGGTTTACTCAGTTACGTATTATTCTTTATTTTTGCAGTCACTTTCATTTGTTAATTCTCAATTCATGTGTAGGTTAAGTATTATTTAGCTCACATCAGGATGTGGTTTTAGTTATAAAAGGTTT